AATTACCTACCTGAATAGGGCCAGTCGCTAGTGAGCATCTCATTGGTATTTAAGTGTTGGTTTGTAGGGATTTGATTGGTTTCTGGATTTCATCATGAGCTGACATTAGTTAGAAAACCATTGGAAAACCTAGGAGTACTAGACAGCTGTTTCGTCAACCTAGTTTGGGACTCTTCATCAGTAGACATCCAGTGGGATTCGAACCCATGACCTTCTGGTTACAAGGCGATCTCATATACCATTAAGCCACTGGGACCCGATCCAATGGCCCATGAATTCTAACTTCTGCCAATTCACGATATAGCGCAACCTCTAGCCAATGTCTTCTGCGAGTAATTGTCCTCACACCTGATCTGCTGTTTTCCAATGTTTCTCTAAGTGATGTCAGCTCATGATGAAATCCTGTAACCAATCAACCAAATCCCTACAAACGCATACTTGAATACAAATGAGATGCTCACTGGCGACTGGCCCTATTCAGATAGGTAGTTACCTGGGGTTCCAGTGAGAAGTCGTGACCAGTAGGGTGCAGCAGGTCGGGTGTGAGGAAAAAAAAGGAATTAGCAGTGTATGCAGTTTCTTATTGGACTAGAAAATTAGATATACAACGTTGAAAAAAATAGTAGTAGGGATACGTTCACCTTATAAACTTTAACAAAAGTCACATTAAAATGAAACAACTGTTGAATAGCTTTCATAGCAATAATGGAAATCAAGTGAAACAGGTGCAACATTAGGGAAAATTATTAAACGTAATTCATGCCTAATATTTTTGTTCCAGATGAAGCTAGTCAGTGGAACGCTATTCAGCTTCAGTTCTGTCCTGTTTGCACTGTTTATATATACAACATGGAAAGCAATAAACCATAACATTGAAAATTTCCGCTTAATCAGAGCCTATGTCTAAAGCAGATTCTGTAAATTTCGATAAAGAAAGAAATAAAGACTAAATTTGCAGTATAAAATGACATCTTCATCTTATTTCACAGGCTCTCTTCAACTGCACAATAATTTAATAAGTGAGTAATTTTTTAAGTTTTCCTTCAAATTCCTCATTGGAACATAGGGCTTCAAGCTAATGGCTTGAAGTTTCTGTAGCATTGTTTATTTTTACAGGATGGGGTCGCTAGCCTCATGCCCAACCTTTCCTCTTTACCAGAATTATTTCTGGCTTAGCGAGGTAAAGCAGTGCGCCTGTGGCCGAGGATCGAACCCCGAACCATGGTCATGGTCGGCAGGCGTCCTAACCTGTATGCCACCAACGCACAAGTAATGGCAGTAACATACTTCAATGTGTGAATGGTAGCAGAGAAAACATTATAAGATTAACGCATCACAAAAATAAGCATTACAATTGGCTTTAGTTTAAGTTACCTTTAATCTCTCTGCTTTCAAAATAGAAAAGGAGGGAATGAGAGGGGGAAGAAGTAGAAAACAGAAAGATCTAATTACCGTTGTTAGCCTGTAAGTTCACATAACAATTCAAGTGGGTTATATTTCATAAGACTGAAATTCGGACAATGTGCTGAAATCAATATTTTGAACGACTAATCAATGTAACTTAAATTGCAGTTACCAAGGGAATGACAGATTGATTGTATTCTCTTTCTGTATGCATAAATTTGGTTTGAAATGTTTTGATTGTAATTGCTTTAGTAAATCATAGTAAATTTGCTGTCCTTTGTATACCTAATAGTTTAAAGGATTTGGAAATTGATATGTATCCATATATATCTATATATATATATATATATATATACATAACAATTTGGCGACGGGGAAAACTATGGACTCTTCTAAATTGGAATTACTATTTGAACAACAAATGAAATTAATGGAAATGTTCATTAACAAACAGACTGGTCCAACTTCACCTTCAAGCAATCCCAATCATACCATGCTACCATCTGTCGACGGCATTGTGAATAGTATTTCACAGTCCAATTATAATCCAGATGCTAATGTCACTTTTGACACATGGTATCAACGTTATGAGGATTTATTCACTGTTGATCTCGCCTCACAAGACGATGCTTGGAAGGTGCGAGTGTTGTTACGTAAATTGGGTCCGGCAGAATATGAGAGGTATTGCAAACTAATTTTACCCCAAAAACCACGTGACAAGTGTCTCGATGATACAATAAAGCTGCTGCGTGAACATTTTGGAGACCACTCCTCATTATTCAGCATACGTTATTGTTTCCTCAAACTGAAAATGAATGAAAATGATGATTTTCTTACTCACGTTGGCACAGTCAACCGAGAATGTGAGAGATTTCGACTCAGGTTCTTAACAGATGATCAATTCAAAGCCTTGATTCTCATATGCAGTCTTTAATCTCCTCGTTTCACAGATATCCAAACTCGACTGCTCAATCAGCTAGAACGAAATCCTAAGTTCACATTACATGACATAGCTGATGAATATCAACGGCTGATTAATTTGCAGAAAGATACACACCTGGTCGAATCAACAACTTCGAGAAGCTCTGATATTCATGCATTATGAAAGAGCGAAAATCTCTCATCATCTAGTCCTGACCCACCTTCTTCTAATGTTCCGCGGAAATCTACACATACTCGTCCAACTTCTCAAATTACTGCAAAGAAGACCCCACCATCACCATGCTGGCACTGTGGCGCGTGGCACTTTGTAAAGTCTTGCCCATACAAAAATCATCGTTGCAGCAAGTGCAAAATCATCGGTCATAAAAATGGTTTTTGTCAGCCACGCAAACCCAGATATCATAATCCAGCGAAAGCTCGACAAACGGTTGGTCCTAAATCTCCAAAAAGATCATTGAGTCTACGCGCAACCTGTCAAGTCACAACACCAGGTATGCGGAAATATCTTGATCTTCAGATAAACGGTCATGATGAACGTCTGCAGCTAGATACCGCCTCTGACATTACTGTTATATCAGAGAAACTTTGGAATGATATAGGCAGACCACCTATCACAAATACTTCCCAGACTCTTGTCAGCGCCTGTGGTGGGCGGCTCAAACTAATTGGTGAACTCAAATGTTCTGTTTCCTTCCGCAATACCAAATTCACAGGAATTTGCTATGTCACCAAGAGTGATTTAAATCTTTTGGGACTTGATTGGTTCGATCGTTTGCATCTGGCTGATGTCCCACTAAATTCGCTATGCAATGCAGTCAAGAAGCATAAAATGTCAGACAATTCCGGACGAAGCCGAAGCTGCAAACCCAACAGGCAGACGAAACGACAGATGTCAACAACAACCTCAAAGGTTCCAGATAACCCCCCAGGAAAACACCCTACTAATCATCAATCTTCTCAAAAGGGGAGGTGATATGTATCCATATATATACATATATATATGTGTATGGTGGTCTCTCTTTCTGTTGCTCTCTTAGTCTGTGACCATTTCACTTTGATGAACCTGTCTCCTTTAACAATGTATATTCCCCTTATATTATATATAATATGTGTGTTTGTTGACAGTGTGACCTTGGTGAATATATATATCCATATAATGTGTGTTTGTTGACATGTCTGCTATATTTTGCTATGTATATATGGATCGATACTCCATTATAATTAGCCAATCATGTTAAGACTGTCTATTGATTGTTCACACACTTGTTTGGATATTCATATATATTTTGCTCTCACACTATTGTGTGATATACAATTGATTCTCCTTGTGTTTGGAAAATAGAAGTATCATCGCAAACCTAGTGGTCTTCTGATTTCCGTCTTTCTTGCGTCAGGACTATTAAATTCTCGACCAGTACATAACAATAATTTGGCGACGAGTACATGATAGAAATCTCGACAAAATGACTCGCATAGAAGGTTGGCAATTGCACTTTGTAAATATCTGGTTGGTTTTAGACATAAGTATGTTGGGATAGGTTTAGAAAATCGGATAGAAGTCCTCCTTTCTGTTCTTCCGGTGAACTTGTTTTCGCAAGTGCAAATAAATTTATAAACGCATTTGGAGGTGATATTAGCAGAGTACTTATCCAGTTTAGATTGACTTAAAAAGAGAATGTACTGCTCTACAGCAGTTACTTTAGAGGGATTTTCGATGACCAGAATATTTAAATAAACTAAATGGTAAGGTTGTTTCGGTGAATAGGTTTTGGGACTTTTCTATGTGACAAAATCGAATTAGGGATTCTGATGGTGTACCTGTTAATCACCACAAGGTGAAGCCTAATTGGATGCGTATCCGTTAAAATAAAACTTAAAATACCCGAAGACGAGCTAGAAGTTTCTTTAATGAATCCATTTTAATCGACTTATTTTGGCCCTGATTGTATTTTTGGGAACATATGGGTGCACTACAGATCAATGACTGATTTGATGTGATGAAATGTTAATAAATTAGTAAGTTTTTGTTGTTCTTTGTATATCTAATAGTTTGAAAGATTTAGAAATCTCGACGAAATGACCTGTATCCACAAGATGTCTGGTAATTGCCCTTTTGGGGATATTTGCTTCCTTTCAGGCATAAGTTTGTTGGAGTATTCTTAGAAAATCGAATAGAAGTCCTTTTTTCTGTCCTTCCAATGTACTTGCTTCTGCAAGTGCACGTAGATTTATAAAAGCTGTTGCAGGTGACATTGGAAAGGTGGTTATCAAATTTTCATTGGCTTTTCTATTTTGAAAGCAGATAAATTGATGGTAACTTAAACGAAAGCCACTTGTAATGCTTATACTTCGGATGCGCTCATCTTACAATGTTTCCTCTACTACCATTCACACATTGAAGTCTGTTATTGTCATTTTTTTATAACCATTTTAATTTCAGAAAGTTTACAGCAGTTGATGAGAACTTGTGAAATAGAATGATGACATCACTTTACAATGCGAATTTGGTCTTTCTTTCCCTCTTTATGGAAATTTATCAACAGCATCAATCATATGAGATTTAGTAGTTATTATATATTGGTCATTACAATAGATTAAGTGGAAAGCAGTACTACCTGTTATCCAGATGCCCTATCATTGAAGAATTAACTTACTGGAGGTAGGTTGCGCATAATATTTACATATTCTGATAATCTTTGTTCAAATCCTGGTGCGAATGCCTTTGGATCGATGGCAGCAAAGCATTGACCCTGAAATATAAAAAAACAAAGATGACATTTTAACAAAAAATGTTACTTTCATCACAAGGTAATATAAACTCCACATTATTACCTCATTATAAGAAAGGATTTATGAATCAATTACTTTTGTCTGTTGTAAGAAATTATCATTTTTGAATGCAGGCAGTTACCTAAGGTTCTAGCGGGAAGCCGTAGCCAGTAGGGTTCATCAGGTCGAGGCTGAGCACAGTTACTCATTGAAGAAGACATTGCGAAGTGGTCGCGCTATGTCATGAATTGGCAGAAGTTAGAATTCATGGGCTGGTCATTGGATTGGGTCCCAGTGGCTTAATGGTCTACGAGCTGACTCCACTTGTAACTAGAATGTCCTCGGTTTGAACCCATGTCGGCAGGTGTGTACTGCTGGTGTCCTGAGCTCTAGGACGCAACAGCTGTCCAGTACTCCCTGGTGGCTTTCCAATGTTTCTATAACTGATATCAGCTCCAACCAACCAAACAAAACGAAACTTCCTACAAATCAATACTTAAAAATTTTTGAATTTCCTGTTGACTGATTCTAACTGGATCAAAATACTGGATCTTTTCGTTGACATATCAGCGTTTTATATGAATTCTTTAACGACGCCTTAAAGTTAATATGATGTTATTTGGTTCACAGTGGCTAGCAGTGAAATCCATAACATGTAATTCTTCATGCTTTGAACTCATCATTTGGTTAGACTTGAACATCAGAACTCGTCGTCTTAAACGCAAAATCGTTATCTATGAGTACCCTAGAGAGGCAATGACACGGTTAATCTTTCTGCAGCAAGTAAGTACATCTCAAAGGGAAGAGTTCCATATAAGGGGGGTTAGTACATCCTGGATTCCACCGTTAGACACTGTCAATCAAGTGACAGAATATATACATATATATTTTGCCTTCACGTTCCCCATTGGAACATAGGACTTCAAGCTAGTGGCTTGAATTTTCTGTAGCAGTGTTTATTTTTACATGATAGGGATATTAGCCTGATGCCCAACCTTACCTCTTTACCAGCATTCTTTCTGGCTTAGCGAGATAAAGGAGTGCGTCGCACGGGTATCAAACCACGGACCATGATCATGGTTGGCGAGCGTCCTAACCTCTATGCCGCCGACGCACCAATCAAGTGACATAAAGGTTTTACTAATAGTGTTATGAATTTTTCTAATCACATTGTGAACATAGGGAAGACGGAGGTGATGAAAATAACCAGCGAACAGCAGTAACAACCAGCACCAATCACCATCAAAGGGAGAGATTTAACAGACGTTACCTCCTTCACTTATCCGGCCAAAGAATCACGGTTTCAACCACCACAAGGAGACAGGATGAAGATTTCAAAGCTGGTCAGAATCGGAAAGGCAAGGCGAGATACACATTCATCAATCTGAAACCAGTTTGGAAATCTTATTCACTCCACCTTAGCAGCATAAAGAACAAGATTGGGACTATGTTCAGCACAAATGTGAAATCAGTCAGTCTGTTTGTCTATACGCATCAGAAACTTGTATTGTCTGTCACAAAAAGGATTTCCGACAGCCTGTTGCAGACTATCATCAACAGTCACCTTCGTTTCATACTGAAGATCAAATACCAGCCAGAAAGAATTAGTTACAAGAAACTCTGTGAATAAAACAACAGGTGAGAGTTGACCGCTCAACACATATGTAGAAGAAAATGGAGATGGATCGGGCATACATTACGAAAACCGTTAAATGACATCGGGTGCAGTGCACGTCATCGCTTGAGTGGAATCCACCAAGTGGGAAGCGATGAGTGGGTTGTCACATTGAGGGCGACATGAAGGAGATCGTGTGGCGAGAAGGAGATGAGAGATTATGGTCAATCATGGGGGTAAGTGGAAGAGGAAGGCAGACAAAACAGAACAATGCGAAGATGTGTTGTTGAAGCCAGCCCTATGTTCCACTCGGAACGCTGGGGAATAATAATAATAATAATGATATTGGAGCAGCTAATCTATTGAAGACAACGATTTTTCACATTAAATGATATATAAAACACAGTTGAAATTAGATAAACACAAGACGCCCCGGTGCAATATTTTTTATTGTTGTTTTTTTTAAATTTGTAATCTTTCAGCAAAACATGACATTCCGTTGATATTTGACGTCATAAGTTAGTGATATTATATGCTGTATTTTATTGCTAATATGTTCAAAGTCTAATTCTTGAAATATCCTAGTCATAGAGATTGACATTCGACATTATTTACGAGTAAACAAACATTGAATGAAAATAAGTTTATAGGAAAGAAATAGTATAGGAGAGAGGAATTGAAATAAAAAAGAAAGCTCAATAATTAGTGAAATCAAGATTTCAAAAGGTACCATAGTTACGCTGAACTAAAGAACTAGTACGGGTGTTAAATAAACTTGAAAAGAAAACCTCCGTGGAAGAAACCTGAAGGAAGTCACTTCTTTCATGTATCTTAGCAGCAGCATTCTTCCAACCAAAAGCAATGGCACGGATGAGGATGTCAAAGCAGGCCAGGATCGAAAAGCCAGGCAAAGTAGCCTGTCATCACTCTGTAATCAGTGTTGAAGTCTACTGCACTCAGCAGAAACAACTAAATTAAGATTTTTAACACTAATGTGAAGTCTATCCATCTATATGTGTCAGAAACTTGGTGAATCACGAAAAGAATTTGTAGCAGACTACTTTTACCAACAGCTGCCTTAGTTCTATAATGAAGATTAAATGGTCAAAAAGAATAAGCAGCAAGGAACACTATTAGCTGATTTAAACGCAAAAATAATTGGTGCAATATGGCATCAAGAAGATGCACCACACAATAATAGTAAAACAACATAGATAAAGTAAAAATATAAGTAGAGAACGGATAAAGAACTTCGTCTGGAAGGAAAACAGTCATTGTAAGCGCAATATTCCTTGAATTTAAGTCACGCGTAGATAAAGGCTATCCCGGTCCAGAACAAACAAGAAGCCGGTCACTGTTTCTACGGTACTATTAATAAACAAATCAATAATTATATATACAACAAACCTTAACGGTTTCAAGAGTACAAAGCACAACGCTTAACAGAAAGCAAGGTACCGCTATCAGAGCAGAATAACGTTAAAGCCAAAATTGCGAACTAGCCAGAACCAGACACGACCGTTCAGGTAAGCAGTCAGTAGAAGAATGAACCCAAGTAAGGCATGGCATAAAACAGAGAGCGTTTAAGAGAGATAGACCGAGCATAGGCACAAAGATAGCATTTAATTGGCTACTTAACCAGGTAGGAAAATACAGATGAAAATCAATAAATAAGATAAACTCGACAGAATAGTACAAAGTTAGACATGGGTCAGCAAAAATAACAGTTCACAAAATACTCTGATTGGGCCATGAGTTCAACTGTCTGACTAAACGGATCGAGGTAAAAACACATACACACAGTTAACAATAACAATTTCGCTTTATTCCAGAAACAGTACTTGTGGTACAGTGTGGAATTTTCAGCACATATCTACAATATTGCATCTAATTTCATCGTACATTTAAAAGGAGTATTATAAAAAAAAATATTAAAAAAAAAAAACAAAACACAAAAAAACCAAAAAAGAAACACAGAAATAACAAAAAAATGCAAATAAAAATACCAAGTAAAAAGGAAGATAAACACAAATAATGAAAAAATATTTCAGTATTGGTTAGTGGAAGCTACGATATGTGTATGCGTGGTGAACAGTAACAGCTATAATCATACGGGAAATTATGAGATGTTCTTAAAAATGTTTATAGCCAAGATGATCAGTTAATTTGATTGAACAACACTAAGCAATCATAAGATAAACATTTCAGGTTGTGTTTTTTTTATTGTCAGCACTAATGCGGTGTTTGTAGTGGTAGTGTGAGGAATCATGCATAATACAAAATTTTTTAAGATGGTGATAGTGGCAATAACAAACAAGATTGTCAGTTAAATAGTGCCGAACAAAGAACAACCACAAAACTAATGTTACATGATGGTTAATGACGGGACAATTTTTAATAATCATAGTGATAATATAGTCGGACCCAGTAGATGTACAAAGAAGGAATAGAATAAAGAATAAAAATGTAAGCCAATGATAATAATTTTAAGCAGCTAAGTATGTTTAAGAAGGTTGTTCACTATAGAGTACAAATAAGAGAGTGTAAGGGGGAAATAACAAGGGCCAAAATTATGTTATTAACAACAAAGCAAGTCATAGGTTTCACGCTTAACATTGTCTCTGTCACTTAGAACACGGGCCAAATATGGTATCGTTGAGTTCCTATACTTGGTTGTACGAGCATATATTATTTTGTACTGATTTCTGGTTCTACCTGATGAGATGCAAGGAGAGAGTTGGGAATAGAGGGGGTGTTGGGGGTCAGAGAGTATGGTTTTAGACCATTTCTCACATGTATTCAGATGCTTATCCACTAATGTTGTGACGAGCTGACTGAGTTTTACACCGCTAGTCCTACTAACTACCTTCAACATCCTTCTCAGGATGGTATAATCCTTTTTCAGTAACCCAGGAAAGACTAACGGGGAACAGTAAAGTAGAATAGGTAGGATACGAGAGTTGACAAATTGTGAAAGCAGAGGTTGAGGGACTCCAGTTAGTCTGAGTTTCTTAATGTAGTAGGTTAGACGAAACACTTTCTTGGAAATCATTTGGATATGAGATGACCAAGTAAGGTCGGAAGATATAACTAATCCGAGGTATTTTGCATTAGACTTTGTTTCAATTATAGTCCCCTCAATTCTACAGACATCATGAGTGCTTACTAGTGTTTGTAGATCTCGTTTATGCCTAAAGGAGAAGTCGACAGTCTGGCATTTTGAGGGATTCAGCGTTAGGCCATTTAGTTTAGACCACTGACTGATGTCCGACAGGAAGCTATTTAATTTGAAGCAGTCTGACTGAGACTTAACGGGAAGCGAAACAGTCAGGTCATCTGCATATTTGACGAAGTTGATTTCGTCTG